AGTTCCATGCTCTGTCATATAAGGCTCTATCTCTACTAGGAAAGGCGCCCCCGTTTGTGTTTTCTTTCTAGATCTTGCAGTCTCCCTGGCTGGAGTGGGGCAGCGACCTGCAGAACTCTTAACATTAACCCTCCAGTTGAGCGGTCCGCTCTGGCGCTTTTTGTTTTCATTCTATAGAAGATGGCCAGAGACTGTCAACATACTACTGCGGGTATGCTACAGAAGACTTACAGCCACCTAATAAAATCCGGTCTCCCACGTATGTTCTCCCTACAGCACCCTTAAAGATTGCTAGCACCACATTTGTTATTCCTCTGTGTAAGATCCATTACAAAATGTCACAGAAATAAATACATTATATGAGAAAAGGTCATGGACAGAACAGTAAAAATAAAGGAAGTGTTATAAAGAAATACACCAAAACATTCAACTAGCAGAAGTCTGATTTATAAATATTTTCCGTTCACTAACTGAAATAGGCAACTAAACAGATGACTACTTGTTGTTGGGACCCAAGAGCCACACACTGAATGCCAAAAGGGCCCTTAGGTCCGGCATCAGGGCTATACACGTTTTGTTTCCCTTTTCTCAAGTGAGGTGTGCCAATGAAGTTTTATGACTTATTGTGTATTATATACCCATACAACTATCTTATGTTTGTTTTTTAGTGATTGTCACCCACCAAGCCAGCTGCCCAAGCAAAAGGAATTTCAATTATGACCTTGCTGCTGCTGCGATCTCTGCCCGAAAAAGGCAGATGGTTCATAATAAGAGAAATAGTAGATAGACATCTCTTGTAAGAGTTGAATGAAGACATCCTCATGTTCAAGTGAGTCATTTTGTTCCTAGTTATCTAATCATAAGGTTGTGGCCTTATCTAACACAATTCCATTTATAGGAAGGAAAAACATACGAATTTAGGAGTTGTCCATGTAAAACAAAATACATCAACTAATGCAGCTATGTGTGATTTTAAGAAACATTAGATGGATTTATGAACTTAGCAGCCAGTCAATACATATATGGTAGTAGTGTTATCTGCTAAGGGATTTGTATTTCTGTCCTGAGATCTACACAGTCCCATCAAGCATCACAGACTGGTTAGTGTACTGACTTTTCTTTACTGCAGCTCCGCAGTCCTCCACCTCCCTGCCCTCTGCATATGATTAGACAACTAAGCAACATCTGCATTATGATAAGCTCAACCTTCTCACTGTGTACTCGCCTTCTATCAATATGTTCCTTGTCAGCAATTGTGAACTCACTTCACTTGATTGGTGTTCCGCTACAGGGGAAGTTAAAGTAACACTTAACTCCGGAGTTAAATCTTAAAAATGCATTCAAGTACTTTAACTATTAACAAAAATGTATCTTATTTGTGTATCACTCAGCTGTAGATCCTCAAATCATCTCTAAATTTGTTCCGACACTGTCCTTGCTTCTAGAGGGTGTCTACTTTTGTTCCCCATGGTCGCTGTGTGTGTTGTAAAGTAGTCACCACTCCAAGCTCCAGGGGCGGACTGGGCCGGGGGGCAGGGGGGCGATTGCCCCCCGGGCCTCTCTGATGCCACCGCGAACGGCCCCTTGACCCCCGGCCGCTGCCACCTGCACCCGGCCGCCAAGTTGGCGCACCATGGGCCTCTGGATTGTACTTGGCCCCTGGGCTAAAAGTTGCCAGTCAGCCCCTGCCAAGCTCCCTACTATAATGGACTACAATCTCAATACAAATTGTTAAACTAAACGTGAGATTATAGTCCATCACAGAAGTGAGCTTGGAGCGGTGACTACTTCACAACACACACAGGGAACATGGAGAACAAAAGTAGCCCACCTCCAGAAGGAAGGACAGTGTCAGCAACAATTCAGAGATGATTTAAGGATCTATGACACTCCTGTGTGTGAGGGTACATTACTGTAAATGGACAGGGACTGCTGACACTTGTAGTGCCCTCACATGCAGGACACCAGGACCGTGGATCCATGCTTTGTAGTATGGCAAGCAGATTTAATTTTTTTTTTTTCTTCTTTATGTCGGGCCCCTGATTTTATTTATAACCCTCGGCATGGCCCTTAGTAAGTTTGTATTTGACACCCCTGGTGTAGAGAAAGGCTAGAACCTCTGTTGAGTCTGTATTGCCGACTTTGTCCCTGCTGGGGAGATAACCCCACTCTTTGTGACCATTGTCACCGAGAAATCTAAAATGTATGAGTTGTCACCAGGTCAAGAGGTGAGGGTAAATCATGCTATGTGGACATATGTTTCACTGACAACTGTCCTACTGTTAGGAGATTTCCTATCATTTTCTGTTGTGTCTGTACAGGAAGTGAAAAGACATCTCCCAAGCAAGACACAAAAAAAAAAATATATATAAACAGTCTTCATTGTGCAACTGCCAGAATTGACTAGTCCTCATGACTGTGTCCCCTGCCGACCTGCAGTATAGATAGTGATTCATACAACTATAAAAATTAGGTATGCAACAATACCGGTTTCTCTGTATCAAGTACGAGTACCAATATATTTTATTGGTACCCGCCCATACAAAGTACCGATAACAGCATCCCCAGTTACCATGGGCCCAGCATCCAGGCCAATCGGGCTTCCTGAATGCCTGGAAAGCCAGTTTCACACTCCCTTGCGACACTGCAGGGCAGCCTGGCATCCTGACCAATCAGGAAGCCAGGCTGCCCCGCAGTGTCACTAGGCAGCATGAACCTGACTTACAAGCCAATTAGGAAGCCGGGAGGTGGGTCATGAAGTCGGGAAGTCGGCTCCATGCTCCCTTGAGGCACTGCCGGGCAGAGGGAATCTCCCTCTGACCAGCAGTTCCAGTATCGGGGTAGGTGTTAGAGCATTTGGTCAGTATTGGCACCTATACTGATACCAGTATCAGTATCGGTGCATCTCTAGTAAAAATAGAAGCCACTTTTATGTAAATGTACCAAAATGATAATGAGCATTATGTCTTGTGGTCCTGGCCGACAGCAACGTGGAAACTTTATCAAAGGTACAGTCAGCTGGCTTTGATTTTTTGTTGCTCAATTCAAGTGAGGGTCACACTCTACCCACTGCACAAAATAACATTCATTTAATACACGTATGTATACAGATGAACACTAGATACTGAAGGTTTACCATGACATCCAGGCTAGCAGAATTTTCAGGAAAGGTGAACAATGGCAGCCTCTATATTTCTCTAGTGACAGGTTTACTTTAAAAATGGATGGAATCAGAGAGCTGCACCATGGTTGTGGCAGGCTAGCCCTTTCTTGCACTTAATTTAGATCAGTGGTTCTCAACCTGTGTAACTTCAGGACCCACATTTGTCCTTGGTCATTAAGTTGCGACCCAAGTTGCACTGCACGTTTCAGGCGATCGAACTGTGGGTGCGAGGTGCGTTTGGGGTGTCATTCAAAAGATCCACCCAGTCTCCATACCTTACAAGAACTGGAGTGGATCCTCAGCCTGGGGTCCAGTGTGAGCTGCTGTGCTGTGACAGAGCTCCATCCATATGTGCAATGCTTGTACAGCTCCATTTGTATGCCCTGTAGAGGTGCGTGGAGCCAGAATGTGACATTACTCTGGTCCAGGCACCTCTACAGGACACGTGACGGAACTGTATGTATGGATGGAGCTCCCTCACGGCCATAGCCCCAGTCCATCTCACCTCAAGCTGACACTCGGCACCGGGCAGCATATTTTAAATGGCTGTTTGGCGCGCAAGAACTGACAGTGCTGCAAAAGGAGGAGGCTGAGAAGCATTGCACCTAGAAAAGTGGAAGGAATGTGGCGACCCACTGAACATGGGCCAAAAATGTCACCAGCACACCATTTGAACATGAAGCAAATAAAGTTGTAATATCACATGAATGTCATTCAGATCCTGTATCTATCTACTGTTGCATCTGAGTGACATTCACGTGTCATTAAGGCTGGGTTCACACCTGGGCGTACGGAATATGCGCGTTTGCCACACATTTTTACCATGATTTGCGGTAAAAACCTGCGTGACAAACGCGCGTTTCCGATGGCTATCCGGCTGTATCCTAATGGATACGCGCGGAAAATACGCCCCAAAGAAGCTCCTGTACTTCTTTGGGCGTAGGGCGGTTTTCAGCACGTTCCTATGCGCTGAAATACGCCCAGGTGGGAACCATGCCCATAGGCAATTATTGGTTTTCACATGTTGAGCTTTTTACAACACGCAGGAACGCGCTGTAAAACGCCCAGGTTTGAACCAGGCCTTAAACTTTATTTGCTTCATGTTCAAATGGTGTGCTGGTGACATTTTTGTGGTATTGCACGGTGCCATCCGTGCTCGCTTCGAGCACCCGCCTGATACTCAGGTGTATTTTTTGATTTGGTAAGGAGTGCAGCAGGACATACTTGTATGTGCCATTGAACATGGGGTCGCGACCCACTTTTGGGTCACGACCCACCAGTTAAGAGCCAAGGATTTAGCAGATACCGTAAGTGGAAGGAAGACAAACAAGCATCTAAGTGAAGAAACGTAGGTCACTGGACTAACGTTCTTTTATTCAGAGAAAACCGTTGATACATTGAACCTCACTTATGCGAAAATTATTTTTCCTTTAGTTGTGCTTGGTCTAACCCTGAGTGACAGCTGCTAAAGAGTTCATCTCCAAACACGGATTCCAAATCCCAATAATATACATTCCTTAAACACTAAGGTGTGTATGTTTTTTCACACAAGATTCAAACAACTTTTGCTCAGGATTCACATGTTTCCATTTGAATTCAATTAACAAAATGTTTGAACCTCGGGTGAATGTGTGAATCTTGTTTGAATAGACCCCTAAGGTACGTCAGGCTGGTCTATTCATCTCAATAGAACATTTGACTGGCGCAAAGAAAGTCAAAGTCATTTATATTCTAGAAAAATATTATTTTGGTTCTGGAAGCATAATGGTACAATTGTTCTCTTTCCTAGACAAAAAAAAAAAGCATACGAATTAAATATGACACATGCAACCAACTGTTTTTTCTAAGGTAGCAAGGAACCTACAAGATTCAGCCAACATTATTTTCAACTAAACACATCAGAACTGACATCACACATCTCCCTCTAGTTGCTGTTCTTTTAAAAGTCTATTACTGAAAAGAAAATGGCATGTCTGAGGATAAATCAGGGTTTTAGCCAAAGTTTATAAGTCTTCAGATATTGCATTAAGAAGTTGATCTTGTGGCTCCATAGAGACGGGAAGCCTTAGCTGAGCAAGTTGATGCAGTGGTGAGGCTGTGGTATCATTCAAATGGAAAGAAAGAAGAGTTGGTTATCTTTAAGATTTAGTCATGTAAAAAAAATTATGTACAGTTAGTCATCATAGGAATTAATCTCTCAAAGGCTGTTTTACAGGCCATTTCAATACTTACATTACCTATACAATTTTATATAAAGTTTTACAGTTGAAAAAAAAAAAATATTACATTTTGTTGATGCAAATCCATAAGCAATTCATAATGCCTAGCATTCATAATAAGGTCCACCTGGATTGTGTTTGTGTTGAACGTGTACAGACACATGGCCTTAAAGGATGCAGCTAAAGGCGTCACATCCCACTGTAAGCTTGAACTTTTTACTAAAGGTTAATAACCACATGAGCTTCCTGAATTTCTTCTTCATCGTCCTCATCCTCATTAAGGAGGCCCCTGGCTTCCGGTGTTTGTGCAGAAGGAGGCCACTCATTCGCGTCTCTAAGGCACCCAGGGTTTACAATATAGCGATAGTCGCTAGAGGCTGCCGCTGCCGCTCCACATGTCTGTGAAATGTCAATGCAGCAGTCGTCGTTGTCAAAACCAGAATGCAAAATGGAGTCTGAAGCAGTGGCTCCACAAGTCTCTCCGAGATTTACATACAGAGGATCTTGACTCGCTGATAATAAAGATAAGCGTCCCAAGATGGTCTCTAGCCGTCTTTTTATGTCTGTAAAGCAGGGCCTCCTCTTGGGCTCAGTGATCCAGCACTGGCACATCATTTCATACCTGCAATAGGAAACAGTGATTTATTTCTGGTCATAGAAAGAACAATCAGATTCAACCAGGAAAAAAGAAAGAGAAGCATCAGGGATTTTATTATTGCATTCCGTTTGTTAAGGTATATCTAAACCCAAGAACAAAAATGTAATATATTGCAGCTTAACTTTCCTTAGATGTGTTGGCTATATTGGATTTCTTTTCTTTATTTTCACCTAGTGATCCAGCCAGATTTAGCCAGTTCTCCCTGCACTACAGAACCCCGTGTTAAGGAAAAGGGAAGAGGGTAAGGTGTAGTTCTGTCCTAGGGTGACAACACTCTATGGTGGAGCAGTTCTCTCATCCTGACACAGGACTAACCCTTCCTCTTTTTCATAACAAGGGGGTTCTGTAGTCCAAAAAGAACTCGAACAATGCTTTCTATAATACCGCTTTGTAACATCTCCAAAATACGCCCCTTCCTCACCAATGAAACCGCAAAATTACTCATCCACTCACTTGTTATATATCTCGTCTTGACTATTGCAACTCCCTCCTCATTGGCCTACCTCTACACAGGCTATCCCCCTTCAGCCTATCATGAATGCTGCTGCTAGACTCATTCACCTAACCAACCGCTCAGTGTCTGCAACCCCCTCTGCCAATCCCTGTACTGGCTTCCAATAGCCCAAAGGATAAAAGTCAAAATATTAACAACCACTTACAAAGCCATCCACAACTCTGCCCCCGGCTATATCTCAAACCTGGTCTCAAAGTATCACCCTAACCGTCCCCACCGCTCTTCACAAGGCCTTCTGCTTTCCAGCTCCCTTGTCAACTCCTCCCATGTTCGCCTCCAGGACTTCACTAGAGTCTTTCCCATCCTATGGAACTCTTTACCCAACCCGTCCGACTATCTCCCTCTCTGACCGCTTTTAGGTGATCCCTTAAGACTCACCTCTTCAGGGAAGCCTATCCCACCTAAAATTAACCACTGAACTATCACTTTCTCAAACAATTCATCCCCACACAGCTCCCTCCTCATGTATCACTTGCCCCTCCCTCTTAGATTGCAAGCCCTCAGGGGCAGTGCCCTCCTTACCATCTTGTCTTGAATATTGTCATTGTAATGTTTTCCTTATATTGTAAAGCGCTGTGCAAACTGTTGGCGCTATATCAATCCTGTATTATAATAATAATAATAATAATAATAAGAGACAGCAAAGGCAGAGAACGCAGGAAGTTATCAGCTTATAAGATTTCTGGCAGGATCAACAGGTATTTTTTAAAATTATCAAATGCTGTAGATGTAACAAAATACTTTATATTGTATATTTGACAGGCCAAAAGGGAGCAATAAGAAAAGTTCACTGTTAGGATTTTAATAGACTTTAAATGAATACATTTATTTCTAGCAGATCCAATATTCATTGAAGTTTATCAATATCCATTCTGTATCCCTACTATAGAAAGGCACACTATAACATCGGGCAGAAAAATCTAAAGCTTCTGAAATGTCAGATAAAAGTTGGAAAAGCTTTGCTGGCATGCTATAGCAGAAACCTCCAGGTAACGTTCCCATAAAAGTGACCCTTTCCTTTGCCCATACAGCGCAAAGGAAAAGGTTAATTTAACTCCCCCTCTACCCAATAGGATTTACTCACCTTTTCTAACTCCTACCCCACCCTGTTCATTTACCAGGATCAAAGTGAAATAGCTGCCACTATGGTGTATGGGTATGTGACTCACTCCCCCTCTCAAATGTGACAGTGCTGATGCCTCGCTATTTGCCCAACACTGTCACAAGATGGCGGGTTAAGAGCCCATATTCTTGTGTAAGCTTTGACAAGTCAGTTTGGAGCTTACATTCAGATTTCTTTTCCCGATCCCGGCACAGAGCAACAAGGGAGCATGAGAAGGTGAGTAAATGCTGCTGAGAAGGGGAGTAATTGCAGGCCAAAGTAACCCTTCTTCTTTGGCCTAGGTCATTTTAAGCATCTGTGCACCCATAAGAGACATATCTTGTTCCTCCTTGTCTATAACATTAGTATTTCTGTTGTGTTCGCATTATTCTCCATGAAGGAGTTGTGCAGGGAAGGAAGGGGAAAGTACTAAAAACTAAAAACGTAGGCTTTACAACCACTTTAAAGAAGAACTCCATAAATATGCTTAACCCTTGCAATGGGCTATGTCCGCACTGCAAGGGTTAAATGCTCGTTTTCATCTAGGGACAAAAATAAAAAAGTTATACTCGCCTGAACCTCACAGCCTGCTGGCAGTTAGACCTGTCCCTAGAGCTCCTCAGCTCCAGAGATCGAATGCCCCTCGATATCCTCACATAATATACAATGTATTAGACCGCTGGAGTGGAGGGGGAGAGGTGGCAGGATCAGGTCTAGCAGCCAGCTTGCTCTGAGGTTCATACGCGTATAACTTTTTTTATTTTTGTCTCTACACAAAAAAAAGCACTTAACCCTTGCAGTGCCGGGGTAGCCCCATTGCAAGGGCTAAGAATAATTATGCCCGGAGTTCTTGATGATCATAAAACAAGAAGCAGCCCACTACTCACAGAAGCTGTGCTTCAATGTGGGCTTTCCATAAATGTTTTCAGCTTTACCCCATTGCCATTAATTTGCTAAATACAGTACACATCCCTGGATTTCATAGCAGTAATAGTGGTGTATTGCAACCCGTAGAAACAAATGAAAGACAACTTTAATTAGCTGAAAGACAAATTCTGATTTTTTTCCCCATAACATATTGCACACATCTCATCTTTAAAAAAAGTAAAGAAGCAATTTATCTTATCTACACATCTGCCACAAGGTGGTGCTGTATTCCCAGCATTAAACTTTGCCTGTTACATCACCCATTTCTCTATTGTTATTATAAGAGCTAGTAAACCATAATAAAAACTTTTCTGCCCACCTGTATATTTAATTATTGGCACACAGGTGATTAAAAAATTGGCATTAATACCCAATTATCATTAAGAATACCATATTTACTATTTGGCAGCAAATAAAGAAGCTGAAGGTGTTCTATCACCGGTGAGCGCTTTACATCGTGGGAACAATGCGCCTTTAACTTCTTAGCTTTCCATGTCTGCGACATAATAGACTTCCACCCACTTCCCAATGTCAGGCCTGCATGGGATTAAAAATGTTCTTAAAAAGCCATTATTAATATTAACACTTCTGACTCCTATGGGGATGTGGGCGAAGTCTGAATATGATTTTCAGCATGCTGATGATGTAACTTTTAAAGGCTCTTATCCATCACCTAGAGAAGCAAGATCACTAGAAATAATTGTTCGAATAAGGTCTTGTTATATGTGTGCCTTTTTGGAGAAACGAAATCCAAGGAGATCTGTGTCATTATAGTCAATGGCAGTGGTCACATCTTTATCTTCATGTAGTCTTGCAAGATTTTTTATTATAAATTCTTGCAAGTATTTTAACAAAAGGCTGTGATCGAAATCAAATCAAACGGCAAAATACATTGTGAGGAATTTATCAAAACTGGAGCAGACAAAATCTGAAGCAGATTTGCATGGCAATGAATCAGTTTCTATTTCTCATTTTCAAATCCCAACTGAGCAAACTGAAGAGAGAAGCTGATTGGTTGCCATGGGCAATTGCTCCAGTTTCTCTCTGCTCCAGTTTGGATAAATTCCCCCCATTGATCAGAACAGGAGCACACAGAATCTAGGGCAGCTGTGCACAGTAACCAATTAGCCTATTTCTTTCATTTTCAAATCTTAACTGAACAAACAGAAGAGAGAAGCCGATTGGTTGCCATGAACAGTTGCTCCAGATTTTGTCTGCTCCAGTTTTGATCAATTCCCCCCATTGTTTTTTACATGCATTTTCTAACAGAAGTATTGTTTCTCCCTGGAAAACATAAAGATGCATACAAATGTGGTTAAAGCCCAACTGTATGCATCAGCAAAATGGATTCCAGGTGCATCTAAACAGAAGGTGTGCAAAGTCTTGCAGCTGGTTTTATTTAGACAACAGACACAGCCCGAGTAGAAAAGCCTGTTCTTCGCCAGCATGCTGTACAGAAGAACACTCACCCGGATGAGTCAGACCTATAATCTTGCAATTAGCAAAGTTTCAACTCCCTGCTGATTGGAGAGCTCTAGTACAAATGAGAAGAGTTGGAACTTCCAGCAGGTGGAGCTCTAGGCAACTTTTCACATTTACCAGGGCAATCTTAGCTGCTTTGCATACGAAAGTCTATTTCTACAGAACACAATAGCTGATTTTTTTTTTTTAAAGAGCCCGTGGAACGTGCATCGAAAAAACACTTCCCCCTGTGAACAAAAAAAGTGAACCGTGAAATCACAGCACACAAAAACGTGCACAAGGGTGCTTGGTCCTTCAATAAAGAAGGGACCTCGATTCCCGACAGGGCTCCTGACAGAGGTTGAGACTGTTGGTCCACCAACCCGAAGGCCGGTGGACCCCGATCCTACTAAAGAACACAATAGCTGATGCTCAACTTTACACACACAATTGAAGGGGTTAGAGGAGCGACAACATCCCTTCCTGCTTTGTCAGACAGCCCTTTGTAGCTTCCATTACAGAGACAGTCTGAAAGAAATCAACTTTTATTTTCAATACCCATAATACTTCAATACCCATGGGTGAAATTCAGTGATACCTCGGGTTCACAAACTTAATTCGTTCCACGATTCTGGTCGCGAACCGATTTGGTCGTGAACCGAATCCAACTGTGATCAGACTACGATGTCGACTAGAGGAAGCCATGACCAGAGCAGGGAAGATGGCTGCGGTTGTGTTCGTCACCGGAAGCTGACTTCGTGAACGGAACAAAATTTTGCAGAACTTCCTGTTCGCAAACAGAATTGTTCGCAAACAGAAGCGTTCGTGAACCGAGGTACCACTGTATTTCTAATGGCCTGTTCACACCTAAGACAGCGTTCATTGCACTAAATATTGATATTAACACACGCTATTGCACAACAAATCTAGTGTGCATTACTGTACACTGCATGCATATTCATTTGAAGGGCACCCCAACACACCTCCTGGTTGTCGTGCAATGTCTTGGCAGCGTTGTGCGATTAACACTAATCTTAGTTGTGAACGGGCACTGAAATTTAATTGTGGAATATTTATCTCATCACTAATCTTTGCAAAGTTATACAGACAGGCATTCATTTGCAGCTCTTTAAATAGTAACACATAGGTACTCACCCCTACAGTTTATAGGGTTTGTTTTTTTAGGACAATTACAACTATAAATATAAGCTGCAACACTACCTTCTGGTGAAATCTGGTAAATTATAGTGGAAACCACTTTGCTTCACCAATCGGACTCTAGTATGCTATTTGAGCAAAAGACAATTGGTCGTCCTGGTTTTTTTTTTAAAAGGGCTGCGGATAACCACCTATGTTACTATACGGAGGGGCCCACATTAGGGGCTGTGTGGACACGCTTTTATTCAGTTCAAAGTGGTTTTGCATTTCTATACAAGTCTATAGGTATGCAAAACTCGCCTAAAGCAGGTCAAATGCTGGTCTAAAAGAGGTCAACTGCAGGTGAAATGCACCTGTCAATAGATTCTAAAAAATCTCAGAAGCGTCTCAAACTGATACCATTGACACAAGCCCATAATTATATCCAAAGTTTTTGTATCCCTTTAACTGCTAATGTTTTAGTTGCATTTGAAATATGTCTGACTGTCATTAGAAGCAATTCATTCTTTATCCATAAAGCTAATGCTTCAATGGTCTGCCCCAACTATTAGCTGTTTCTAGGTCTTGTTGAGCCAAAATGATATTTACAGAGTCTAATTTCCTGCGTTTTCTCTTCTACAGTACGGCGTAAATGCAATCACTTTTAACAAGCAACAGACTCAGCACTGAATGTACAGCAGATGCTTTCATTAGGTCTTATTTTTTGATCAGGGCATCTTCAGATCTCTTGCAGAAAAAATCTCGAAGCTAGCACAGCATGTCCAGGTTTCAGTGTTCACATAGTGCTGCACAGGTAGGCACATTACTTACAGCTCATCCAGACAGTCCGGCGGCTGCTTCAACCTATTCCCAGCAATGAGGTAGCTGTAGATTTCAGAGTTTTCAATGCCAGCATAGGGTGTCTGTCCCAGGGTCAGTATTTCCCAGAGGGTGATGCCAAATGCCCACTAGAATATTAAAGAAGAGGGTTACAAGTGCTTTAGTATAACAGAAAAACAAATTATATATATAAATTAGAACTAAGCAAACCAAGACCTAGCCCGTACTAGGGAATACTAGCTTTACAAAGACCAGGAACATATTCTGTATTTGCATGTTTTTCCAGTGTCCATATGATCGCAAAGCAGCTAGGGACATGGAACCCCATATCCTCCATACATATTGCCAGCAGGTAGATAAAATGGAATTGATTTAAAGAACTACTCTGGGCAGAATAAAAATGAACACATGCAGTGGGGCTATCTCCACACTGTAAGGGTTAACTACTCATTTTGGTCTAGGGTCTATAAATTCACCTGAACCTCGGTCCCACATGACTTCTAGACTGGTCCTGCAGCCTCTTCTGCCCTGGGCTCTGGCAGTTTAAAGACCCATGAGTGATATAGTGTATTAGATGTGAAGATGCCAAGGGACATTCCACCACTGGAGCGGAGTGGGAAGAGAGGTGAGTGGCTCTTCCACAGGACCATGGATCGGGTGAGTATCTTTTTTTTTTTAGACCCTAGAGAAAAACGAGTGGGGGGCTACCCCCGCACTGCAAAGTTTTATTCTGCCCATAGTTCTTTAATAAAGTAGTTGAGAATTTTTAACTGCAGGTGAAATAAAGATTTTGCTTTTCACATGATTGGACCACGTCATCTTTTCATAATTTGAGTCATGATTCTCAATTCCTTTAGTAAATCAGCCTCAATCTAGCTAGTGTGACCTGGGACTGACCTCTTCCCATTCGGATGTTGGAACTTCCAAAGAAGCAAATGTATAAAATTACAAACCACCTCCGTTGACACCAGTTGATTTAAAGCCAGTTAAAAAAACTGACCCCATTGGGGAGATTTCCCTCACAGGAAGGCACAGACAGCAATACAAATATTGGTAAGGTTTTAACCTTTGCCACTCTGCTGTGTTTTATTCTGCGTCCCTGTTAGAGAGATTTACCATCACTTCCTGACGGAGGCTCTGCACTTTCCTACCCAAAAATTGAAATAAAGATTTGGCTGCAGTTGGGACTTTAAAAAAAATTAAATGTTGAACCAAAATACTTGTGTTTAAAAGGCAGCAGGAACGTTTAAATTCTTCTACACAGATTGTGTTACTATAAATGAAATTGTCTCTTGACGCAGAAGCTAGTAATCCCTTGAACATTTAAATACATGATGCGGCTGACTGAACTTAGTTCCTCCTCATTGTTTTGTAATTGGCTGTCTCCGATAATAGGGTCTTCTAAGACAACCGATATCCACAAATCCCATACCACTCCTTACCGGAAATCCCAAAGTGTTAGTGGGTGCTCGAAATGACCGCGGATGGCACGGATGGTTGTCCAAGACAACCAAACACAAAATATAGCTGAAACAATAACTAGGTAAAGAGACCCCTTTCATAGGAACTCCGGACAAGCAGCCAATTACACAAGGCAAAAACATGCAGATGAACTTTGAACCTGCCAAAATATTTCTAATTCTATTTAGTTGGACAGGTCATTTTTCTATCCTTGCCACATGGCTCAGCCAATAAATGGATGCCAATGTTTCCAGTTGCAGCTTCATGGTGTCACCTGCTGTTTCAAAGGACAGTGGATATAAGTGACACATTTGAGGGGCCCCTTGTGCGTCCCTCCTCCTGTGAAGTGTCTCCATACTGCCCACCTCGGATCCCAGTGCCTGAAAACAGTTTAAATTGAGTCCTACAGTGCAAAGCCTACCGCCCTCTGTTTCTTCCTGAAGTGAAACTATAACAGTAGTTATTTATGTCTACTGTTTATTTGGTTCCTGGTCCACCATATGGCTAGATACCTGCAAGATCTAACCCATATTGCATAGATACATTCGTGCATGTCAACATTCAGGCACAGAACACAGACATTGCAAAGTTCTACAAAATTTAGATTGAACAGTACACTTGCAGCAAAAAGCACCCACCACATCACTGTATGCGGTGTAAACATTGTCTGCCAGGCTCTCCAGCGCCAGCCACTTGACAGGGAGCTTGGATGCACACCCTTGGCGGTAGTAGTCCCCGCTGTAGATTTTCTTAGACAGACCAAAGTCTGCAACGCACACTGTCATGTCCTCATGTAACCTGAGAGAGGAGAAACAGCATCAGACATTGTATAACTGTATCAGATACTGCTTGTTCAAGTCATCACATGTGTAAGCCACTGTAAAATATGACATTTTGCCTGTGGCAACATTACGGAATTATACTACTGCTGAGCAAAAAAAGACACTCGTTAAAAGCGTAAATAAGATATAATATACTGCAGGCTAAAAGGAAACGTATACTGTATTTTCAGTGAGCGCATACATTTTCACTTCATTTTTTTTATTAATAACAAATATGTTCAAAGTACCTTACAATACACCAATACACACTGAAACATTATGTCAATCAAGACAAGATAGCGCATTTAAGATACAAAAGTGAAGGCAACTAGCAATGAAAGGACACGTGGACCCTGCTATTCAGAGTATATCTAAACTACCGTGTTTCCCCGAAAATAAGACTGTCTTATTTTTTTTTTAGCTCAAAAAAACACACTAGGTCTTATTTTCGGGGTAAGTCTTATTTTTTTTTTAATGCACAACAATCCAAAGTTAATGCAAATCCAAAATAAATAATCCAAAATGGCAAAGTTAAGAATAGGGTGATCAGGGCAATTGGGGTGCCATACCTTTCCAAGAGCAATTTGGTAACCAATCGCTGGTCAGAATGAGCAAAGCGCGGCTTTCACTATCGATTCCTCACAGGTGGAGTGCATTTGGTATCATTCCGCCTGTGACAGGAGTCGGTGCTATAGAGAAAGCATCGGCTTATGCGGCTCTGCTCCCTCCGCTGTCGCCTCGCTTCCTCTAGCACTGGCTTCGTTGGCACCGCTGATTCTCTCCCGCAGCTCTTCAAGTTCCCCCTTATGCCACCACTGGCCCTGGGAATGGTCACAACTAGGTCTTATTTTCGGGGTAGGTCTTATATTTTAGCAATTCCCAAAAATAGTACAAGGTCCTATTTTCGGGGAAACACAGTAGAACAAAAATGCAATATATTGCAGCTTTCTAGTCCTTTTTCAGGTCTTTCGTCTTTTTCCCCCCCCCCCCCCCCAACACCAC